GATTTTTTGATTCTTTTTGATTTATTTTTGATTCTTTTCAGTGGAAGTTCCCAAACCCTAATTGCCCACCATTATTTATAACCGGTGGATGGTGATCAACGTTCTATATTTCTTGTATCCAAAATTTGTCTTCAGTATAATCTGTTGAAAGCCAAACAAATACCAAAGAATCTTCACACGATTCCCATTACAAATACCATTAAAAATGTGACTTTTTAACCATTGAAACATTTTAATAGTTTCTAGTGTGTTATGTGACATATATGCCATAATAATGTATTTGTTTAAATCAATAAAATGCAAAAGAATACTAGTAGAGACCTACAGGACCAATGCAGTTTCCATTGAAACCAATATAATTTGCATAAAAACATTACAAAACCATTGGAAATTCCCCCCAGCAGTGTAGTTGTATCTATTTTGATCATTAACCTGTTGTGTGTTTGTTAATGATGGTGCTCAGAGGCCACAAAATGCCCAGTTAGAGTGCTCCTGAGTGGGTCTACCCCTTTTAAGGATGCCATACAGGACAGTCTCTAGCCCTTTCAGCATGACAAACGGTGGAGACAGACAGTCTTTCATTAGAACAACTTCAGAAGAATATAACAGGGCCTCCAAATCCAATGCACAGCCCTGACTAAAACAGCCCCCTATGTACAGCACCTTTGTTTGATGTTAAAGCATACATTTATTACAGCCAACAGGTATTTCACCTTTGTGTTTGTGTATGAATTGCACTGCGAGTTACTGACTCTGTGCTCAATTGTACTCTGTGGTTTTTTTTTTAAATTGGATTATTTTATGTAAATAACTTCTCAAAGTAACAGTTATTACACTACATTTCAGCTGTTGCCTGTTTTACTTGAACAAAAAAAGTAAATTTACTTGAAGAATAGAGAATGCATTATAAATGAAGTATCGCTATCATTGAGGTTTATTTTTTGTTGTTTAAACTGGGGTTAGCTCACCCCCCAAAAAAACCCAATTATTTTGTTGTTTTGTCCTTTGTGTCATTTCAAACCCCTGAGACCTTCATTCATTGCATTTATACAAATTGAGAGCTCTCTGACTCTCCATAGGCCGCAACGGGCCCAGTTTGATCAAAGTCCAGAAAAATGGCAATAAACATCTTTAAAATAGGCCATAAAGTTTTAGTTGGCCAATCAGAATATCATCCTTCCATGGATATTTATTTTTCTTAGTTTCAGTAAAGGACACACACACTGAGTGCTTGTGCTCTTTATGTGTGTCATCCTGTTGACGTGTATCTCAGATAAACCTGTACTTGGTTTCAAACAGAAGAAGTTGCATGCTGGCATCTGGAGTAAATATGAAAGCATAGCTATACAACGAAAATGGATAAAGAGTTTGTTTTATAGGCACAAACCAGCACAAATCTGGCATAAACAACAAAACGACGAATGACATCAGTTTGGTGCAATTTGGAGGAAATGGGTTGGAGAGTGACGTCACGGCTCTAGAATATTTTGCTTGTATCTAAAGGAGGAAAACAGATACAGTGTTTTTTTTAATGGCACAAACCAGCACAAATCAAGTACAAACGACCTGTGCTGATTTGAAGTCATTTGAGCAACATGGGGTGAAAAGTGACATCACATGGTCAAAAAATAATGCTTCATATCTTAGACCCCAAATCAGCGCAAATGTTCGTTTTTGTGGCACAGATCAGCACAAACGTAGCACAAACGAATTACATAGTTTTGGGGATTATTTGTTTTTATGGGGTGCCAACTTCACGGAGATGCAGTGCACTCCCAAGCAAAATATTGACATTAAAGTGTTTTCTTGTTGTAGTTGTTTTTCTGGACTTTGTACAAGCCAGGACAGTTCCTGTCTATGGAGGATGAGGGAGCTCTCAGATTTATTAAAAAAATAATAATTTTTACCAGGGCTTGACATTAACATGGGTAAGAGCTTTTTAGAAAATACATAATTTGACCATTTAAATTAATTAGAGCATAGTCTAATAAATATATATTTTTTGTTTTGTTTAGCTATTTCTCCGCAAAATTTTGTAAAAAATCTGCGGATTTATGCGGAATGATTTTGGGAGTATTATTACTAAAAACATAATATATTAAATAAAAGATTTTATTTAAAGTTTACAATTGAAATCCAATTAGATGCACTAAAATAAAGCAAGGATCTCCTCATCCACCACCAGTGTGCAGCATCCACCTGGATGATGCGACGGCAGCCATTTTGCACCAGACCGCACACCACACACCAGCTGATTGGTGGAGAGGAGACAGTGATGAAGCCAATTGAATATGGGGATGTTTAGGAGGCCATGATGGACAGAGGCCAGTGGGCAGATTTGGCCAGGATGCCAGGGTTAAACCCCTACTCTTTTCGAAGGACATCCTGGGATTTTTAACAACCACAGAGAGTCGGGACCTCGGTTTAACGTCTCATCAGAAAGAAAGCTCACTGAGCAGTATGTCGTCCCTGTCACTATACTGGGGCATTACGACCCACACAGACCGCAGGTTGGGCGCCCCCTGCTGGCCTCACTAACACCACTTCCGGCAGCAACCTAGCTTTCCCATGTGGTCTCCCATCCAGGTACTGACCGGGCGCAGCCCTGCTTAGCTTTAGTGGGCGACCATGTGTAAGTTGCAGAGAGCTAGCTGCCGGTAATTTAAATTGTGATGGCTGCGACACACTATCATACACTTTCATCATCAAATAATTGACTGCTCAAAATGTACAAGCTAGTATTTTTTTTTTTGCCCAGCTTGACATAATACAAAAGATCAGATCCTTAGCCGTCAGTGATGATCATTCTCATTCTCCGTTGCATGATGCTCTGCACATTTTCAATAGGAGACCAGTCAGCACAAGCACATTGTTTATGAAACCACGCTGTTGTAGCATATGCAGAATTTGACTTGATCTAATCATAACATAGATAAACAATAGACCTCCTATGAAAGACGTCACTTTGATGGTAGTATGTCTCTGTACCCTCCCAATATATGCCTCTAGGTCACTTGTGTCAAACTCAGTTTCTGTGAGGGCCGCAGCTGTTAATTACACAAGTTAGAATAATTAGGCAAATCATTGCATAACCATGGTTTATTCTGTAGAATTGTATATATACAGTTGGTTAGAATTATTAGCCCCCCTGTTTATTTTTTTCCCCGTTTTCTGTTTAACAGAGAGAGTTTTTCAACACATTGATAATCATAATAATTTTAATAACTCATTTCTATTAACTGATTTATTTTATCTTTGCCATGATGACAATACATAGTATTTAACTAGATACTTCTAAGACTTATTTTTATCTTATTTTTAAGGCTTAACTTGGTTAATTAGGTTAACTGAGCAGGTTAGGGTAATTAGGCAAGTTATTGTATAATGATGGTTTGTTCTGTAGAATATTGAAAAAAATGTGTCCTTAAAAATGTTTAAAAAATTAAACCGCTTTTATTGTTGTCGAAAAAAAACAAATAAGTTTTTCTCCAGAAGAAAAAATATTATCAGATATTTTTTTGAAAATTTCTTTGCTCTGTTAAACATAATTTGGGAAATATTTTAAAAAGAAAAAAACTAATTAAAGGGGGGGCTAATAATTTATACTTCAACAAAAATATTTTACTTCAACTGTATATTGCTAAAGAGGTCTAATGAAATTGACTGTATTGTTTTTTTAATGAAAAACTGCTTTTATTCTAACCTAAATAAGACTTTTTCCAATAATAAAAAAATATATATTATATGAAATACTGTGAAAATTTCCTTGCTCTGTTAAACATAATTTGGGAATTTTTTAATAAAGAAAAAAAAAAATCCCAAGGGCTGATATAGTTTTGACTTCAACTGTATAAACAGTTATACACAGTTGAATGTAAAATTAGCTCTGCTGCTTTTTTCCTTAAAATATTTTTGATATGATGTTTAACAGGCAAGGACTTTTTAGAACACTTCTTATATTTTTTCTTAAGAAGAAAATCTCATCTCTGTAACAAACCACTGTTGTTCAATGACTTTCCTTAATTGGCCTACTATAATTAGGCAATACTACAACTGCACTCCAACTCAATTCAAAGATGATTTCTTGGACTTACTATTTTTTTTAAGGTAAGTGGCTGTAAACCAATTTATTTGGGTTGAATTTAAACAAACAAATTAAGGTAAACATTACTAAATTAAATTTGCTTGTTTAAATTCAACCCATATAAATTGCAACAATTTTTCAGAAATCATTTGTTTTCGGAGTGTGAAATATATAATTGCCCCAGATTTTTTTTTTTAAACAATCCAAATATACAAAAAAAAAAAACAAACAAACAAAAAAAAAAAAACAATGAGAAAATGTGTAACTACTGAAATTTATCAGATATACTTTGTATTAATGCATTGCTCAGGTGTCTTTTTTTCCCCAGACTTGAACTTAAACGGTCTAAAAATCTTGATGGTTCTGTAGACATTTTCTATCAACTCGGATTGTAAGGTCTTATTTTCTATTGAAATCGAGACATAATTAGCTTGGCCGTTATAGCAGCTTTTTTTTTTTTTTTTTTTAATAATTGAGTTTCTTTGGCTCTGTTTGAGATCATTGTCTTGCTGAAATATCCATCCTAGTTTCATCTTCATCCTCTTGGTGTTAGGACTGAAGCAGCTAATATTCATTTACATCAACTGAGAGATTTTAGCTGCTGTCTGGGCTTTCCATGAAAACAGCCAACTTATGTTTCTTTTTAATTATTTTGTTTATTTACTGCACACCATGTCACACAGCAGCTTTTAGGCACTGCTCACAGAAATGACTAGGAGGCAGCTTTCTGCAATAGAAACTCAATGGAAAGTGTTGGGTTGCCCCCTCCCCCGACGTAGGCGAGACCCAGTGGTGTCATCAAACAGGCGTGGTCACCACGCGCTGCTGTTTAGCGGTCAGCTGATATTACAGCACCACGAGTTATTTCCAATGGGACTCTGCGTGACATTATCGTGTGCGTTGTGACCAAATCGAGAAGCCCTATTTTGTTCGTGTTTGTTGCTTAAACGCTTTACAGCCGACTTCACAAATGACATAAACTAAGCAAAACACCGAAAGACCGCAGAGGAAGTACCAGGACAATCCGCTGAAAAGAAACTCGTTTGTCTTCCAAAGGTAAAAAACACTTTCTCCTGCGTTTTTTATTTTTAAATACATACGTTAACTAATTTATACATTTTTCGTCTTTATACAACTTGGTATTTAATGATAGCGAATCTGCTTGTTTGTTGGTTTTGTCAAACATTGACCACCTAATTATAGGCTTGGCAGCCTTCAGGGTCTTACCGCCCCTACACCTTACACTAGGGCTACTGTGACGCACGGAAAATAGTAGTTTTCCCTGTTTGACCACAGTGTTATAGTGATGATCGGATGTTGTATCATGTCATGTAGAAAAACTACAACGTAGTTAAACGTAGTTTTGTTTTGTTTTGTAAGTGGCTGTTTTCATATTGTGTCGTGTAGGCGATTAAGATCCTGACCTCTGTTTGGCAGAACAAACATCATCTTATTGTGAATGAATCCGCTGACAGTCGCCTGATTTTCATCAACCCATATTCTTATTTGAGGCAAATTGTGCTTTGACTATTACAGAGAGTGAGTATTGTTAGTGTGTTGGCCATAAATAATAGATTAACTGTTATCAACATCAGTTCTGCTGTGTCAGACCACTCATTTCAGCTAGAGTGTTAGTTTTATTATTAGTTATCAGGGTGTAATGTTATTCCTCTGATAATTTGATTAGACATTTACCCTTTAATTATCAGAGTAAGTTAGTGAAATGTTTCAACCAACTTTGTGTGTGAAATTGTGTTTTATAAGCCTATAAACTTGTTCACCTGCAGTTGCTGGTCTGATTTTTATCATGCACAGTTCAGATAAGTAAACATTTTTCATTTGTTTCAGTAAGGATGAGCTACTTCTAGAAATGCATGAAAGCCCTAGTGTGAATGGAGAGCATTTTAAAGGGAACACAGATTCCTAGTACTATTGCATTCTCCACACTCTTGGTAGTTTCCTTGGTTATTGATCAGGGTCACCAGTTTCCTTTTCTGTTTCCTTGTTTAGCCACCTGATTTTAAAAGGCGGAAGTAAGCTCTTTTTTTACAAATGTGTTAGACTTATACTTCCTTTGCCGCCATTGGTACATGACTAGGGATAGCTCAGATAACTCTGATCATAAGATTTTTGTTAGATTATTTCCAGTTTTGAATTTGGTATGGATAAATCTAATGTATATGCACAAATAATATTGTAAAGCATCGCATATTGAAAATAATAATTTAAAAGTAAGGTCAAACTACTTATGTATTCTGTAGTCTTTGAAAACACTAATTTGTATCACAAGACATGTCACTCTTTTAGTTTTGAATTGAGGAAAGTTTAACAGTCAACAAGACGAATGAAGCCCCACCTTTTAGCACAGGAGCCAATCAGCAATCAATCCGGGGGAGGGCCTCGAACCAGCCGTGAGTTTCTGCAGATAAAAGTCTGGTTTATACTTCTGCGTCAAGTGACCGGCGTAACCCACAGCGCATACAACGCGCGTAGCTGTGCATTTATACTTCTGCGCGGTGTCTCTGGCCCCGTTTACACTAATGCGTTTTAGTTTGAAAACGCATAAGTTTTGCTACGGTTACGCCATCCGTCCACACTACGCCAGAGTTCTCGAGCGCCGAAAACGGAGCTTTTTGAAAACGCTGGAGAGGCCGTTTTCATTCTAAAACGCTGCTGCTCCGTCTCAGTGTGGATGGGGAAAGACGGAGACATCTGAAAATGGAGGCGGGGCTGCAAACGTTCGCCTATCTGATTGGGGCTTTTCCTCAATATTAAGTAGCCCACACACCGTTCAGTCCTGCATCCTCTTCTTGTAAGTTAAGACCTCGCAAGTTTGATCAAAGCTGCGGTCTCCCCCTTCTCAGTTTGATATGGAAAACATACCGAGGACATGGGTAAATCTTCAAAGGGAACAGTGTACTTTATAACTTCATTCACATCACCTTGGCTACGTTGTTTCACTTTCTCAACAATAAAATGTAAACATGATTTAAGGAACTGCCTATTTTCTTTTTAATATTAGTAACTTAACAGACAGCAGAAATGCTCAGTGCCGTGCTGCATATATGAGCGTCATCTTCACTGTGTGGATATTTATAACAAAACGGAGCCGATAACAACTGCCTCCTTTCAATTTCAGCGAAAATACGAAACACACCCTCTCTTTTGCTGAATATCAGTTTTAATAATCGATAATTATAAAAGTATAACATACAATAGGTTTATACATTGTAGGAAATAAAGGCAAGCGATCAGTCAATGTACCTGGATTAATCATTATTTTGCGCTTAACCAAAACATGTTACCCGTGAACAAGTAACTTAATAGATTCCAATGACCAAAGTCAGGGAATTGGCCTATGTCGTTAGATAAAGACAACAACATGAATGAAATATCACGTTTAGCAAATATAGTGAGATTAGATCCAGCAGGAGATGCTTGATGAGCAGTCCGACAAGCAGAGCTCTCATCTGGGTAGAAATGCTGGAGCGCTTGCCCGAGAGTGTGTGTGTGGTCACGTGATGTGCGTTTTCAGCGTTTTGGTGTGGACGGAGAGCTGTTCAGAAACGCTGGGTAAAACGCGAGTGTGGACGCGGATCGTTTTCATTCTACAACGCCGTTTTAAAACTAAAACGCACTAGTGTAAACGGGGCCTCTGTTGGTCTGCATTAACACTTCCAAAACGCTAGTTGGCAGTGAGGTGGTAATGCTCCTCTGTGTCAAGTTTCTTCGCTGCTGTTTTGCTTTTCCTGAATACTTCCTGGATGTACAAGTGGCTCAAACTTGCTCATTTTGAGGTAGGATCCGGCGGACGTGCAACAACCTTAACTATGAGGTAAACACAAAACAAAACTTTCCATCCGGAGCTCCTTCACAGGACTCCACACTTGTAAGCAATCGTTCCATTGGGCTCGCGCCATTCGCGTGGCTCTCGGTCCCGCCCAGACTCGTCAGCGCTTCCAAGCCGACCAATCACAGAGCTTGCTCTACGCGTTGTTGCGACGTGTAGTTAAATTTTTTTGAGAGGTGCACGTCAGTGATGCTGACGGCCATGGCAAAGGGCTATGCGTCAACGCCGTAGCATACGCCAGCGTTTGACGCAGAAGTATAAATCAGCCTTTAGTGTCACTAAAACGTTTAGAAATGAAACTAAAAACAATGTTTTTTCATTTTATTTTTGATTCCTAATATGAAATTTAATCATAAGCTTGGCAAACAATTTAGGAGAATTTGATGTTTCCCCATTCAGACAGAATGGCCTGTCTTACTGCCTGAGAGGCGTTTCAAAGATGGCCGCTGAGTGAAATGACTTGCCTTAAAAGGACTTTGGACATTTTGGCTAATTAAATACCATTTTGTAACATTTAAGTGGCATAACAAGCTGTTTTGTACAGCTAAAATGTATGGAAGTAAATGACATTTGACATTTCTCTATGAGGACTAGTGTTTTGCATGCATGCATGCGTGCGTGCGTGCGTGTGCGTGTGTGTGTGTTTTAAGTATTGTGTTTAAACTATCCTGTGTCTTTTTGAAATGGAAAAAACATATGTTAGGTAGCATACTTAGTCCGACATATCCCATCTTTTTGGCACTGAAGTACTAGCACAGACTTTTCATACCAACAAGCTAACTGTGTTATTTTGCAATCTACGTTTACTACAGCGTGTTATTTAAAAAAAAAAAAAAAAAATGAGTGTTTTGTGTGAAATGTTTCATGTGCAGAATCCAGAGTCAGAAAGCATCTTAAAGCAGTCATGAAACAAAACTTAAGATTGTGCTTTTCTCCCATATTGCAATTTATGGCCAATTGAAATGGTCCTGGAAGAAGAAAAAATGTCAGGCGACACACATAATTTTGTTCTTGGGGAACCAATTGGATCAGTGGAAGATGGATTTTTCTAACAAAAGTGAAGAAGATTGATGAATAGACGGAAGCAGGGCAAAATCGAGACATGCGCTGAAAGCCCCGCCCTAAAGTCATTTCACGGGACCAGGGGTCCGATCTTCGTACCTCGCTTAAATAATCTAAGATGATTTGGCAGGTCTTTTAATCTTGATAACTGATCTCTGGCTAATTTGGTTCTTCAAACAAGTTCGCAAATTAGATTAAAATGTCTGGATGAACTGATCTGAGATCGATGTGTGTGTTGTGAAGGACAGATCTATCCATTCCCGAAATTATGATCAGCAATGCAGCGATTAGCTGATTGTACAGCACCGTAATGACATTGTCTAATTAATATTCAATTATCCATGTAAGCAAAATGACATAAAATTAGCCGTAAACGGTTTATTAAATATGATAAGCAATAACTTTACACATTTGTTTTAAGCTGCAGGCTTTACACTTTCATCTGTCAAGAGTATTCATCATGTATTTCAATGCAAATCAATGTATTTAGTTCTACATTTAGATATAAAAATAAAGATTTTCTTTATAGTAGCCTATAGGCCTACTCAAGTTTTTTTTTTTTTTTTTTTTTTTAAATCGACGTAAGCAATAACTGTATAAATTCATTTTGCATAAAAAAAAAGCATTTTTATATCGGTAAAGGTGTCTGCAACTTTTGCGAAGCATCAAATCACAGGTTTATTAGCGGTCAAAACATGTGCATGACTGTGTGTTTAATTATAAATTAATATCCTAACATGCTAATTCATGCTAGAATCATGCTAGTAACATGCTAATTCATGCTAGAATCATGCTAGTAACATGCTAATTCATACTAGAATCATGCTAGTAGCATGCTAATTCATACTAGAATCATGTTAGTGACATGCTAATTTATTCTAGAATCATGCTAGTAACATGCTAATTCATGCTAGAATCATGCTAATAACATGCTCATTCATACTAGAATCATGATAATAACATGCAAATTTTTTACTACACTCATGCTAATAACATGCTAATCCATGCTAGAATCATGCTAATTCATGCTAGAATCATGCTAATAACATGCTACTTATACTTTTTCAAACTGTTTTTAAACTAAATAAACTATTACCAACAGGCTTTGTCAAGCCAGCCTCAAAGTTTGTCTCGACAAACTTTA